TATTTTTTCTTATATTCCTCATAATCCTTCTTTATGCTAGAAATAACATCATATAATTGTTGATTTCTTTTACATTTAACTAAAAGTTTAATTTTTTTGAATTGTTCATTAATAGAGCCACATGATTCACATTTCGCTTTTTTTACTTCTTTTCTTATCTTTAAAAGAGATGCTTGTAGCTCGTAATTTTTTTCAATTACTTCATCGATATCACTTAATGTTAACATCTTTAATAAAGTAGAGTTTAGTTAGTTTTATTTAAATAATAAAAAAAAATAAAATAAAAAACAAATGTATCTCATAGTTAAAACAAAAAAAACAAGCTGGCAAAAACAAAAAACGTAAAAACATGTTGAGAACCAGGTTAACTCAAAATAGTTGATAGCAAAGAAAAAACTGGAAACTACCCAAGTTAAAATGATTAAAAAAATTGTTTCAACTAACTAGTATTTCTTTTAATCATAGATACCAATAATATAAAAAAAAGAAAAATACTAACTTGTAAAAAAAAACAAGAGAAAAAAAAGATAAAAACAAAAAAAAGATAAAATGACGATGATCAAATAAAAAAAAACAATTTTTATAGATTATCAAAATTACGTAAACAAAATCACATATTTAGCTAATTTAATGATGATTTTCTAAATTGATTAATCAAAATATATATAATATCTATTTTACATAATATTAATTTATATGCTTGTAAATATTGTATCTAGTATGTCCCATTGACATAGTACAAATTCTTTGATTATTGTTACAATCGAGAAAAACAAATATTTTTACAAAAATCGATAATATTTTAGAAGAATCAGAAAACAAAGAAAAAAATAAAGACAATGTTGAAACAAATAAAGAAAAAAAAATAATTCATAATGTATTTTCTTTAAATATTTTTTATTTATTTTTATACTAATAAAAAATAAAACATATATTTATAATAAATAAAATATATATTTATAATAAAAATAAAAAACATATTAAAAAACATCTTTAATTATCTTTCGTCCTCAGAGAATATTTGTAATTTTTCAATTTCCTGTTAATTAAATAAAATAAATCAATAAATATATTAATTAAATATTAGTGATAATTGAAATTAATTATACCGTTTCTAATTCTTTAACTTTTTTTTTTAATTGATTATTTGTTTCGTCTTTTTCTTTTTTGATTTGTTTGAGTTTTTTATTATTATCTTTCAATTTATTTAATAATTTGGTATAGCTATAAGATAGTTGCTGTAAAAGATTAACAAACCAACGAGTATAATAATCATTTATTCCTTGTCCGTCCAAATTTTCAAAATCACTGACAGAATAACCAAATATATTATCGCCTCTATATATTAATTTAAGATTGGAACAATTAATTGATATTGCAGTTCTATGAGAGTTTGAAATTGGACCATATGTTGGATGATGTGAATCATCATGATTAGGATAATCAAATATTTCTGGATCTTTACAAATTCTTCCTTGGTAATTACCAATTACTTTTGACATTTTAAAACATTTACCATAATATATTTTTAGGATTATTTATAAAATTTATTTATATTGTATACTTTAAAAATAGCATTTTATTGTTATGAGTTCTTTAAAATAAATTAAATATACATAATAATTTAAATTAACAAACATAACAATAAACTAAAAAAATATCATTATTTATCTTTCGTCTTCGGGGTTTATTTGTAATTTTTCAATTTCTTGTTAATTAAATAAAATAAATAAATCAATAAATATAATTAAATATTAATGATAGTTGAAATTAATTATACTGCTTCTAATTCTTTAATTTTATTTTCTAATTTCTTGTTTGTTTCTTTTAAGATTTCATTTTGTTTCTTTAAGTCTGCATTTTCATTTTTAATTCTTCTTCTCCTTTCTTTAATTATATTATAAATATTTTAAAATTCAATTAAACAAAAAAAAAAAATATATAAATAAATAATGTACTTTCAACCAATTACAATAATCTTTAATCACAGTGGTACAAAATTTAAAAAACAGTTTAGTATAATAATAAAATTCATTTGTTCTAGATGCTTTAACATTCTAACTAATTTCTTTAAGTATTAGTTCTTGATAATTATTACAAACAGATATAAAATTAATTCATTCATCAGCTCCTATAATATTATCATTATTCCATGCGTTAATTACAGCCTATTGATAATATTTTCTAAATTCAAATTTTTTTCCTTCGACATATCTATTATCTCTAATACAAGCATCAATATGTATAAAAGATTTTATTTTTAAAATATGAGGAAGACCTTTAGCTTCTAATATTAGATTGTTTTCAGATAACATTTTTCTTTTATTAAAAGACTGGAAATACTTAATAAATTTAATTATATATGAATATTTTAATTTATATTAACTGATATAATAACAAATTTAAAATAAATCATTAAACAATCACTAGAACAATCAATTACCAATTTAGACTTATTAAATGAATATAATCTTTATTTAAATTTAATAATAAAACAAACAATCAATTAAATTCAGATTATCTCTACGTTTTAATGAATCTAAATTGAGCAATTAATTTTCATTTAATTGTTTGTTCAATAATCGCCAAATAAAGATAGATTTAATAAAATCCAAAAAAATAATAATAGAATTAAAATATAAATTCTTGTTTTTTTTTTAAGTTTGAATAATCAAAATCTCACAATGATAAAGTTTCTAATTGGTTTGTTTCAATTTTCTTTCTAATTTCTTGTTTTAAAGTTTCTAAACTTTATTTCTCTTTTAGATTTGCATTTGAAAATAACTATATGAAATATGCGTTTCAATCAAATATTATGCAATTTTTATACTCTATATATGAACTTTAAAAAAATAATATATTTTACATTACTCAGACAAACAGATATTGTAAAATTAGAAGAAGATATCGATCGTTCTTTGTCTTTATTAAATATTAAATATAATATTAATATTAGTATAAATCAAAAAATGAATTTGTTAGTTAATGCATGTAATGATATTTCTAAAATAAAATTTTAAATTATCATGTATATTTAATTTATTTAAAATAAAAAGAAAAACAAATGAAATAAAAAAATCAAATCAAAAAACAAAAACAATGTGTTTCAAATATGGTGGGTGGTGCATTTTAGGATTTGGACATGGTGGTGGTGGTAGAAGAGGTGGTGAAAGATGAGGTGGAGGTGGAGGATGGAGACAATTAGCTGTTGTTAACTATTATACTACTGTAACTCAAACTGTAACTGTTGTTGTCAACAACACAAATTACAAAAGAATAAACGAACTACAATCTTAATTAACCGAAATGACAAAGAATAGAGATAAATGGAAACAGAATGCAGAAGAAATAGCAAAAAATAGAGATGAATAGAAACAAAATTGAGAAAAATGGGAAAATCAAACAAAAGAATGTGAAAAACACAAAGAAGAAACTGAAATCAAAATTAACAAAATCTTATCCTCTCACCTAAACATCAATATTACCAAAATTAAAAACTTGTCAACGATCGAAAAATTAGATACCATCTTAAATACTATCAAACAAGAAGTTAAGGAATGCTTAAAGCTGCTAAGGATACCATTTCAAACTGGTGATAGTTTGATGTCAATACTTAAAAAATTAGTAAAATTCAGTGAAGAAGTCGGAATAACTGCACCTGTTTAAGAAAATTTATTAAGATGCTTAAAAAAATTAAATTCTGAAACTCATATAAATGATCCTAAATCTTTTAATAGAAACCCTGAGTATGGAAGTATGGATATTTTAGCAAAAGTATGTTATGAAAAAGGTTGGTAACAGATTCTGATCCTGAATTTGTGGGTAAAAAATTCAAATCCGATCCTGAACTTTCTTTTGTTAGAAAATTAATGAGATGCTATTATTATATAATAGGAAAAAGTAATCTATTTAGTGTGAAAACAATGGCAGAAAATTTGCTTGCAGTAACTAACCCCAATCAAGAAAAATTATGGAAATGTTTAAAATTATTAATGTCTCAAACTTCCAATTTTAATCCTGGATATGATTATATCGATGATTTGGTAAAAGCATGTTATAACTATGGACCAACTAAAAATAATTCTAAATACAAAAACAAAAACTATCGCCATAAACGTGATATTAGCTTTATAAAAAAATTAAATCAATGTTATTACTATTTGATCAACGAAGACCATGAACTAAAAAGCATTGAAACCAAAATTGATGATTTAATCACAATATCCAAACCCAATAAAGAAAAATTATAGAAATGCTTAAAATCATTAATATCTCAAACTTCCGATTTTAATCCTAAATACAATTATATCGATGACTTGGTAAAGGCCTGTTATGACTATGGGCCAACTAAAAATGATCCTAAATACAAAGACAGAAACTATCGCCATAAACGTGATATTAGCTTTATAAAAAAAATAAATAGATGTTATTTTTATTTGATCAACAAAACTCACTTAGAAAAAGGCATCGAAACAATGATTGATGATTTAGTAAAAGAAAGTTCTTTAATTGGAAAAAATAACTAGTTTTTTTTTTAAATTATATTTATATAACTATTTGTATTAGTATATAAATAAATAATTATTTATATACTTAAATTTTTTTATAAATAAACAGAAATTTTTTTATCTAAAATCATGGCTGAAAATATTCATCCTAAAGCACTCCAAATACCAAGTATTTCAGGTTTAGCTAACCGTATTCAAGAAATTATTAATGAATTATGTGCTGAAAATAAAACCTTAAAAAATGAAATCGACCTTTTAAAAACAAACAACAATCCTTTAATTGTTCAAGAAAACAAAGATTTAAAAGATGCAACCGAGAAATTAAAAGACGCAAATAAAAAATTAAAAAATGAAAACACAGACTTAAAACAAGAAATCAAAATCCTCACTGATAAAAACCATGCATTAGATGAAGATAATAAAAAATTAAAAGCCGAAAACGAAATAAATACAAAAGAAAACTTAGAATACGAAGAAACTTTAAAAAACTTAAATAATCAAATTAACATCACTTTGAATATATTTAAATTATCATATAATATCAATGATAAAATTGAAAAAAAAATAGAATTAGTTGTGGAAGATGCAAAAACTTACAAAGAAATCGGATATGTATAGCCTGTATTTGCACCTTTTGCGTACTATGATTTCGTTTAGTGTTACGTAATCATGCTAGTTAAAAATTTCCTTATTTAAATACCCCTATAATTTTTTCTTTAGATGGCGACATTTTGTTAATTGGGTACCAGAATAAAGATCTCCGATTGGCTAATCGTGGATGATCTATATTTTATAGACAATTTTATTGGCTAACAGTCACGATTTTTCGGAAAAAATATCGACGGCGACATTTCTTTAGGAAAAAATACCGACGGCGACATTTTGAAGATTTTTATAATTAGTAAATTTACTAATACATCAAGAAAATTTTCGGATTTTTTGCCGACGGCGACTTTTCACTTTTCCGAAAATTACGTTTTCGGAGTTTCGCCTTTTCTTATCGTAGTAAATCGATTAATCACGATTTACGTTTTCGTACATGAATTTTGTCTTCGATAGTCAGATTTTGAACAATCGTGGAGACGTTTTTTCATTATCTAACGTATTTTGATGATTAATAGACTTTTGTTTGGTATATCTTGAACTAATAGAATCTTAATTTTCATGTAAATATCTTTAAAACTTATCGAGTTATAACGTTTTTAGTAAATAAAAGGATTTATGAATTTTCGTCTTTTTGATAATCGAACTTTGAACAATCGCGGAGACGTTTTTTCATTATTTAACGTGTCTTGACGATTAATAGACTTTTGAAGAGTGAGTATTCATCTATTAGTATGTGAATTTTTAGAATATTTGGTCAAGAACTCGTTGAAATATTAACGATTTACGTTCTGCTTTCGTATACGAATATACGATTTTTGAGAAAAGGGTCATGGTACTATATGGCGGATTAATTATTTTGATTATAAACCTATTACTGCGCATTAATTACGTTTATAGAACATATCTCAAAATTATATGATGTGAAGTTTCATGGGTTTTGAGCAAATATTCGTCTAGTTATGGTATTTTTCGTTAAAAAACCACTGACGAATTTTTTATTTTACTATATACAGGAACGTTTTCGTTAATTTGTCCACTTTGTCAAAAGAAAACCTCATGTACGATGATAATAAAGTTGGTACAGATGACTTTAAAGAACTCATATGTTAAATTTTAAATCAAACGAATAAATATTCGTAAAATTACATCAATTTTTGATGAAGTTTTTGTTCATATACTTTTTTTTTTTTTTTTTTGGTGTTAAGGTGGCCTCTTGGCCGGCTTCTTTTATTCGGTTATAGTTAACTTTACAATATGCGTTTATAGCATCTCGTATACATATTTGGAGAGTACATAC